TGACCAGGATGGTCTCGATCTCTTGACCTCGTGATCCACCCGCCTCGGCCTCCCAAAGTGCTGGGATTACAGGCTTGAGCCACTGCGCCCGGCTGGAAGAAACTTCTTTCTTGCTATTTTGGTCTTTGCAAAGCAGCCATTGTCTAAGAAATATCACTAGTGTTTCCTGACAGCTCCCTTGAAATCATTTTGGAAAAAATGAAAAGTTTGGCTCAAATAGAGATCAGATCAAGCTCCAAATACTCCCATGGCTTTCCATACTATTCAGAGTGAAAGCCCAAGTCCTCTCTGTGACCTCAGGGCTCACAAGATTTGACCTGGTTCCCACTCTGATCTCAACTCCTATTACCCTCCAGCAAGTACCCTCAGCTCTAACCATGCTTTCTCCCTGACCCTTTGCACTTGCTGCCCCCCTACCCCCACCCCCCCAGGGAGGACTGAATTGGTCGTCTCACAGACTTCTATCTGGCTTGCCAACCTCTTCACATTCATCTTGCCTGACCACCCTATTTAAAAGCACCTCGTGCTATCTCCTGCTGGTGCTATATTCTTTTTGAACACTTATTGCAAACATTGTTTAATTAGCTTTCCGTTTCTCACCAGTTGTGTGACAATGAGGGCCAGTATCTTTGTTTTGTTCCCAGTATCCCCAGTCCCTAGGTGCTCAGTAAACATTTCCTGAATGAATGGATGTGTGTGGCAGCAGAAGCTGAGACAGGAAATACAAGCTGGTCCCCAAAGCAAGTTTAGGAGGCATTGTGGGGCTCTTCTCCCTTATTTCCTACCCTCTGCAGTGATCCCACCCTTGGCTGGAAGCCTGCCTCCTCCAGCGGACTTCCTTAAACAACCCTAGGAAGTGGAACCACACCTGTCCCCCTATAAACAACCAGAGCAACGCTACTTCTTGGTCTTTGGGAGGAAGTTCAGAAGAAATTCTTTGAACATATTGATGGTGTTAGGTTTCACTGCGACCTCATTCTCGGGGATGTTTGTATATCAAATACTATTTCTGGAGAGGACTGAAACTCAAATGATGGCAGTTTTCGGCCTATGGAAGAGGTGAAGCTAACTGGGGTGGTAAATTGTGGTCAAATCTTATGGTGAAGTCCATGATCTACAAGCAACATGCCGTCAGCTTAAATACAGCGCGGGTCCTCCAGTGCAACAGGACCCCTCCACTCCACTATTTTAGGGAGTGATGAGACAGGGAGAGGGTTGGGGCCGGCAGCGGCGGATCCGCCCCTCTATCAAGCCCTACCCCACCCCGTTCCAGGCTCTCTGGCCCGACTCGGCTTACAAACTAACCCCTTGTTTTGGCCACGCCCCTCCTATGGCCACGCCCTATGAGTTGGCCCCGCCCCTACCGGGCTGGGGTCGTGCCCGGCCCCGCCCCTTCCCTAGAGCCCGCCTCCTGTTCAGGCTCGGCTGCTGGCCGCGCCTCTCTTCCCTTTCAGACTGCGCGCCGACTGCTGCAGCTCCGGGCGGCCACAGGCTCCTCCGGTCTTCCAGCACTGAGAAGAGATTGTAGCGGGCGCTGGAGCTGGCCCGCTGCCGCTGCTGCGGCCGCTGCGTCGGGACGGCGCTGGAGTCCTCCTTTCCCCTCAGCCTCTGAGCTGAGGCCCCAAACCTCAGTCGGGGGCGGCGCGGCACCCGTGCCCTGTCATGGCGACCCCGGACGCGGGGTTCCCTGGGACTGAGGGCGCGGAGTCGGCGCCCTGGGCGCAGCTGGAGGCCCCTGCCCGCCTCCTGCTGCAGGCGCTGCAGGCGGGGCCCGAGGGGGCGCGGCGCGGCCTGGGGGTGCTGCGAGCATTGAGCAGCCGCAGCGGGGAGCCCTTCGACTGGGGCCGCTTGCTCGAGGCCCTGTGCCAGGAGGAGCCGGTCGTGCAGGGGCCTGACGGCCGCCTGGAGCTGTAAGTCCTCGCCCTCGGCCTCTCAGCGGGCACGGGAGGCGGGGGCTGTCGGGGGACTGACGCACAGAGAGGTGAAATAAGCCCCTCAGCACTCTGAGCAGGGGCACCCTTCACTGAGCACCTGCTGTGTGCGGGACACAGAGGATCCGGGGCCTCGAGGCACACGCCTTCTGTTCGCTGTAAAGTGCAGCAGTGATGATAAGTGGAGGCAAATCGCTTTGATTGCATACTTCCATTTCTTTTTCTTTCTTTCTTTCTTCCTCTCTCTCTCTTTCTTTCTTTCCTTCTTTTTCTTTTCTTTTCTTTCTCTCTCTCTTTTTCTTTCTTTCTTTCTTTCTTTCTTTCTTTCTTTCTTTCTTTCTTTCTTTCTTT